GCAGTTTAATCGATTCATTATGAATTTTCCAAACCGTGACGGCCATATTGTTACAAACGTCAATTAGTACTCGGAATACGCATTAGAGGTGTTGTTAGCTACAGGCATGATCAGGCTTCGTTTTAAATGGAAAACCTTCCGAATGTGAATAAATACAATTTGCAAATTCGAATTCAAAGTGAAAAACCCGACGAAACATTCAACACATTTGTTCAGATTCAAAAGTGGCGCGTGAATGTACTCAAGCGTACTCAAGTCGGTCGTGCTCTCCACACCGTCGGAGCATTGAATGCAGAATGCTGTCAATTTCTTTGCTTGACGTTTACATGACGAAGCTGTATTTCTGTGTATTTTTGTGCATCGACCACAACCAATTTTGTGCTCTATGAATGTTTTCCTATTTTGTGTGTTATTTACCTAAAAAAAACCATCGAATTGTGATTGAAATCAAAGAGTTTGTGTTACATCGCATAATAGTCATTAGTTATTCGTCGAAATTGGTAATAAATATCAACAAAATACGAAGTGCAAACTGTGTGCTGCCGTGTGCAATCGATCCGCTAGATAGACAGACAGAGAGGAAGAGACAGGGACGACAGATTTGTGTATTTGGGTAAGCAATGGAATCATCGGTTTGCAATGGAATGTTTGACACAGACAAATTCATCGAGACAAATTCATAGAATCCAACGAGAATATTCATTGGTTTTGGTGCTGTGTGTGAATTACTGGTGGAAAAAATAAATCATATCGTTTAGTAACTTTTTTATTGGTCCCAGATCAGTATATGTGTGGCAATCGGTGTCTGTTTTTAGACGAAGGGTATTCAAATGTCATATTCGCTGCTATGGACTTTTGTTTGTGTGCATTTGACAATAAATCCAGCGTCAATGGCATATTCCACACAATAACGAGAAAACGCAAAAAAATCAAGGGGTTATTGTTTCATTTCGGTCGATTTTTGTGATTTGTGTACTGAGTCACTTCATTCAGTGCTTTTTTCGATTCGGCTCACATGGACGATTTCGGCTCAGATTGATTTGTTTGGCCAAATGTGAAATTGTGTGATTTTATTTGATTGTGGCGTGTGTGAGCGTGTCTGTTTTTGGCCAACGATCAAGAAATCAATCGCAAAAAGGTCGTCTGTGCATAGAAATACTCGAGCAACAATAAGGTTGTCCGAATGAATTCGACACAAAAGCAATTCTTCGTGGTCAAAAATTGTTTTCAAAATGTCAAATTTGTTGCTTTTTCAATCGACACAAAATCAATGCGAATACTAATTTCATAGCGAATTCTAATCGAATGTCTTAAATGTTTGTGTATTTTCAGTGACGATGAGTGGAAATTGGCAACAGGCTATAGACAAATATTGTTTCAACATCCAATATGAAGCGGAAGCAACGTTACGATTTGTGGACAATGCATTTGGATGCAGCGGAATGTCATTTGACGAGAATTTCAAGGAATACTTCTTTCAAGCATCGAATGAACGGTGAGGAAACTTTATTCTCAACTTCTCATTGACAATTAACAATCAGTCATTGTTTTGTTTATGTATTTGTTTCGCCAATCTTTGCCCATTTGACTAAAACAATTGTATCCATGTTGTTTTTTCCGCAGGATCGCCAAAGCGTATGAACTTTTCCTCAATAAAGCCAAATTGGAAAGGAAATTCATTGGAGTTCGCGACCGAAATGCTCCGACAAATCACAATTTGGACACCAACAAGACGACCACCGATGCAAGCGGTGAGATTATGATCAATGGATCGTATAGTTGTCATCGGCCAGAGCTTGGCACGGCTCAATCCACTTACAAAATTGCACAAGGCAATGGACGAGGAGATGAGAGTGCTATTTGTGTGACAATCATCATATCGAATCAGCCGGCGATCGATCCAAGGACAAACCAAGAGGCCAATGTACTCGTTAATCGCATGGAATCGGATGGGACCATGAATGAGGCAGAATCAATGCCAACCAAAACCAACGGAACTGACGAGAGTGAAGACAAGACTGTAAATGACTCATCGAACAAAGGAACAACAAACAACTCAATGACAGCAGTGGCACGTGAAGAGATAAATGAAGTCACCGATCGTCTAGATGTGAATAATGCCATGGATGAGCCACAGTTATTGCCAAGTGGTGCGACAGAAATTGATCACGACGAAGACAACATTGGAAATGGCAAAATCAGCGATAAAACAACGAATGGAATGATCGAAACAAAAGAAGCAAGTCGAGCGACGAGTGAATTTGATGAAATCAAAGAAATTGATGCTCCAGAAGTCGAAGCAATTCATATTAATATAGAGAACGATTCGATTGTTGACGATTTGATTCATGAAACTGCTGTAGCATCTCTGGAAAACATTGGCAATCAAATCAACCGAAATTACGCACAAAAAAGAACAACGAATCAACGGCGAAAGAGAAAAATTGCAGAAGCATCGACATCGAATGGTAATTCAAAGAAGAAACGGAAGGTTGCAACACGTTCGACACTGAAAACCATTCCAGAATTGATTTCAGGTGAGATTTTCAATCGAAGTACGTGTCGAAATGTCAGTTTATTTAATCAAGAACTTTGTTATTTTCACACAGAATCGCCATTGGTTGATCTGACATTCGATGAAGCAGAGAGGTCTCAACAGTCAAACAACGTGAATACTCAATCGAGTGAACAAAGTGAAACCAATTCAAATGGTGCTGATCAACAGAATGAATCGACATCGAGAGGGAAATCCAAAACAAAATGTGAGTTTTGTAATTATGTATCATGGCCGTCACATCTGATAATACACAGACGCATCCACACTGGCGAGAAACCATTCGAATGCAACATTTGTGCGAAAAGATTTACTACAAAGCAGAGTCTGAACAAGCACATGAGAACTCACGCAAAACAATTCCCATTCCATTGCTCGATTTGTCGACAAGGATTCACAGCGAAACGGACAAAGGAGTCGCACGAGAAAAGCTGCAATCCACGTCGATATGAATGTTATATATGCAAATATCATAATTTATACAAAACACACTAAGTCCGACATATGCGCATTCATACCAGTGAATTGCCTTTTAAATGCAATATTTGTGCGAAAGGATTTACTGAAAAGAGTAAACTGAAAAGGCACATGAGAACTCACGCAAAACAATTCCCGTTCCAATGCTCGATTTGTCGACAAGGATTCACAG